TAATTCATGATGAGCTAAAGATTTGCAATATGGCCTGGGAGGGTAAGAATGACCTGGGTTTGGGGTCTAGAGGGGAGGCCCCCATTCTCCATGTGCTGAAGGATAGAGATGTCCAGAAGGGCCACAGCAGCTTGAGGATACTGAAGGTCAGCACTTGCTCCCAGGCTCCATGGTGCCTTTGTGTGCATTTGTAAACTGTGCCCCTCTGAGGAGACACAGCCTCACTGCTGCACAGGTTGGCAAGGGGAGGGCTTCTTCTATGAAGAAAGTCTGTTTATTTGTCTCAGTACATTTGGCCTTGTGCCAGGGAGTATGGTTTGGTGATCAGAATGTAGACTGCATTTGAGCTCCCAGAGGAACCCCTTGTGAGAAACAGTGGAATGGGGTCTAGAAACAAATGCCGTTCATTTTTTCATAGTATTTGGGCAAGTTCTGGCTCTTCTCACCTTGAGCAAAAGAATGACCTGCCTCTTTGTCATCTTCTCCTCATGTTTTAACAATCCTACTGGAATGTAGGTGTTGTTTGTCCGATTTTATAGATGAGAAAACTGACAATCAGAAAGAGCATTTTAAGGTTCTATACCTGTTAAGTGTTGAGACTGGGATGATAGAGCTTGGGCCTTCAACATTTACCTGTCAGACTCATGAGTTGATTGTTTTTTGTGTGCGCTGTGATTTTATGGTTACTGCATATTGACTCTCTCGACCTCTCCATCCTGTGATAATCCCTCTGGTCCAAATCTAGCTACCAACTCTTCAACAGATTCTGTGATAAATGATGGATATAAGAGGCACGTAAGCAAAAGGAGCTTCTAAACTAACAAGATATAATTTGTAGAGATAATTCATATTGTACAGGAACTTGGTTCATTTCTGTTTCTCCATAGAAGAGACCCAAGATAGAAGAGGGAACCCTGAAATGCCAGCCAGCGGCTTGGGAATCTTCTTTGAGGATGACTGCTGATTTGCTGTGTAACAACCTCAGCAAATCACTCATCTAGGTGTCCACCTAATGGAATTTGTTTGGGACTTCTGCATGTCCCAGGAGACCCTTCTCTTTTAACCAAACTACTGTGGTCACCTTACATTCCACCCTAAAACCTGTGTCTGTCTCCTTCATGAGACATTTTGCTGAAAAAAAGGAGCCAGAATTTTTTTTCTTCCTTTATCTCTTGTATAAGATTATACAAGTCATGCATGTTGATTGCTGAAAACAAAGATAACGAAAAAGTACAAAGATGGAATGGCTAATAATCATAAGAAAAGCTGCTCAATTTCCCTCTTAGAGAAATGCAAATCAAAACACAGTATCATTTTCACCTTTCAGATTGAGAAAAAATGAAAACACTGTGAATGCTTGGCTTAAGCTGGAAAGACTTGTGGGGGTGGGTATATACCCCTTCATTTTCTGTGCAGGGAGTGCAAATTGGTGCAACCCATTGGGAAGACTTTTGGCATATCTATTAACATCTGAGTGTGTACATGATTTGTTCTGGTAAATCAGTTTCTAAGAATGTGTCCTGTAGAAATTCTTATATGGGTCCCTGAAAATGTGGATAAAATAAGGTTTAAGGTAAACTTTTATGTTCCAAGGGGGAAAATGGAACTAGTCCACCAACAAGGGCAAGCAGTATGGCAATTCCATATGGTGACAGTTTAGGTATCCATTTCCTGTTATTTCTGTAGGATAGGGTTCTCACACTTTAGTGAGCATCTGGATCGCCCAGAGAGCTTGTTCAGACAGAAGCCTGGTCCTTATCTCCAAAGCTTCTGTCTCTAGCAAATTTGAGCCTAAAAATTTGCATTAGCAATGCTGCCGATCCCAGGACCACACTCTGAAATCAGACAGGCAAATGAGAAAGCCGTTTAAAACTCTGAGCCCATCTAGATCTGGGATTAGTGTGGTTGGTGACAAATACTCAAACAGTAGTCTAGCAGGAGGATGGGCATGTCTTCCAATTTCCTCTTCACTGGCCAGGAGCCCCATATGATCATCACTCAGAATGGGCCAGGTAAAGAGGGGCTAGACTCCTCAGTAAATACAAAAGGCTGTGGTTCCTATAGAGTGGGGCTCAGGTGTGGGCCGAGGGAGAACGCAGCTTGTGGGTTGGCCCTCACCAGCAAGGTACAGGGCTGAGAGGAGGAGAGAAAGCCAGCGAGGGGACTTTGCCAGCTGTGTTTGTTGGTGTTTCTGCTCCTCCCTGGGAAGCTGGCATTCTAGTTTTGAGGACAACATCAGATGCCTGGGGACAAGAGGCGCAGGTGTTGCTAGGAACCAAACCTTGCAAATGAATTAACAGGTGTTGATTGCTGCTAGGCAGATGTACTTTATGTATGGGTACTGTTTTCTGCCTTATTTTCCTTTTAATCCTAGGTTGACACCATCACCTCTCACTCTCCCGCTAGAGAGTCTCTTGAGATCTCTCCTTGTGTGTCTTGTGACTTAATTTGGGACTTTTCCCTAGGCACATTGTCAGGTGCTGCCTTTCCCAGCCCAGCCGTGATGTTTGCGGTGTGAGAAGAAATATAAGAATGGAGGGAGTAAACACTTCTTTCTTTCCCCCCACTTGGAAGCATAATCCCCGTAATCACTGCTGCCTTTGCTAGACCCCACCCCCATCCTGATTTATGAATGATGGAGGGAAGGAAAAGAAACACAAATCATTGTTGCTGCTCACAAATCATTGTTGCTCCTCACCAACAATCTGGGCCTTGCTCCACTTCCGACCTCTGTTCCCTAGAGGAACCATTTTTCGAGTTTTACCACTTCTTTCGCTGACCTTTAAAATGACACGCCTTCTCCTGCTTGTTCTATGCATCACTTAGAATGGGCATCCTGGAGATCAGGAATTTCTTCTAGATGAATTTTTGCCTTGAAACTGGAGAGGAGAATTACAAATTTGAATGTAAATGACCCATTGATGAAGGTCAGAGCTATGAGACTGAGACCTTACACTTCCAACTGTTGGGGCTCACAGGATGTCTTCCAGCCATAAATTAAGTAGAAGGGGCAGAAAAGGTCTGATTAGGGGATTAAACGCTGATAACCCTGACCAATAGCCTCTTTGCTGTCCACGGTGCTGAATTTTACTCACCAATTGCCTCTAGAAGAACGGGAACAAGTTTACAGGAAGGAAAATGCAGCTAATTGTCCTGGAACCTAAGCCCTCATCAGGAAGATGCACATGATTAAATTAGGGTCCCGTCCACTGTAGTTATCTGAAGTCATTTGATTGGGTTTGGGACACCTGGCCAAGGAGAAAGAAAATCTAGTTAGACTTGTGCTTGACACTTTAGCTACATTGCTTAACCTTTAACATAACCAGCATGGGTTATTATCTTCATTTTCTACTGTAAAAATACAGGCATAGAAAAATTGCTCATAGAAAATTTGTTTTCAACTTTGGTGAAATTTATACAGTTTCACTCCATCACTCTTAAGTGACGGAGTCAGGGCTCAGACACAGAGGTCCTGGTTCCCACAGCTGGAACTGGTGACAGCAGACCCACGCATCCCAAGACTACTGCCAATGGCTCTTTGTTAGGCAGCTATTCAGAAACTGCTGACACTGTGTCAGGTCACCAGATTGCACTGTTTTCTCCCTGGGACATTTTAGATTTCAAATGTTTGAAATTCTGAAATGATTTCAAAAGCTTTAATTGTCTTAATAACCACAAATACCAGGCCCAGACAAATGAACGAGTTTCATTTGTATATGGGAAAGGAACATGAATATAAGCAAGGCATTTGAATTAAAAGGGACTATTTATTTTCGTTGACCTTTGATTCCCAACTCACTATCTCTCAACTCACTATCTCCCTTCCATCCCTGCTCTGGCCTCCTTCACCCCTTGTTGTGTTCTGTGATTCATCAGGGCCTGAGGCTCAGCAGCTGTAATTGGTTTGTAACTTCCTGGAATGCCAAAGCCAAGATGGAAATTTTACGTATCACTCCACCAATTCCATCCTGGCTTTAATAATGTGTTGGCAGAAGGGAAGGCAGATTTACAGCGGGAGAGAAATGTAATCAAATTTGGAGGTGAAATGCAATAAGTACAAATGCTAGTTTTCATTTGGAAGCTTCTTAGATAAATGTGATCTCACTCAGCTCCCAGCCAAATCCTTTGTGTCTTCCCTGGAAACAGTGGACAGCTCTGTAAAGCAATAATCCACAAAGGGAGAGTGTGTGTCTGGAGATCTTTAGCCTGGCTTCAGCAAGTGACCCTGGAGACTGGAGAGGCATGAAAGGTCAGTTAGGAAGACAAGGCTTGATTGGAAGCCTCTGATATGCTGGATACTGGGAGCAGGGGGCAGGGTTATGTACTCACTGGGCTCTGTACTAAGTGCTTTGAATTTTTTATTTATTTCAGGCTTTATGGCAACCTTATAAGGTAAGTAATGATTTTCTTCCCATTTTATAGAGAGATAAAGTGAGATTCAGGGAGATGATTCTCAGGAATAATGTGACATTTTGGGAATTTTACTTAAACTCTCTTCTAAAAACAGTAACAGTTAATGTTTCTTGTAATAATTAATGGTTAATGTTTCCTAAATACTAATTGATAGGTTGTTGGTGAAATCTTTCATAACTTCTCCATGGAAAATGTTATTGTCCTCTTTTGAGTTCCATTTTTCAGGTGAGAAAACTTTCTCAAGATTTATCTCCTTATAAAAGTCAATGAGACCCAGGTAAAAAGATGTTTTGCATCATTAGCTGTTGGGGAAATGCAAACTAATCCACAGTAAGCTATCATTACACATCTATTGGCATGGTTCAAATAAAAAATAATGACAGCACCAAATGCTGATGTGGATGTGGAGAACTGAGATGGTGCTTTCATTAGTGGTGGTGATGTAAAGTGATGCAGATACTCTCGAAAAGAGGGTGGCGGTTTCTTATGAAGTTAAACATGTACTTGTTATACAACCCAGTGTTTGCACTCTCGGGCATCTGTCCCAGAGAAATGCAATCTTATGTTCATACAAAAGCCTTTGCACAAATATTCATAGCAGCTTTATTCATAACAACCAATAACTGGAAGCAGTCCAAATGTCCTTCAACAGGCAAATGGTTAAACAAACCGTGGAACATCATACTATGAATTTCCAGTCAGCAATAAAAAGAAGCAAGGTATTGATACACACCACCACCTGGATGGAACACAAGGGATTGCACTGAGTGAAAAAGTCAATCTGAAAAGGTTACAGCCTATATGATTCTGTTTATACAACTTTCCTGAAATGACACAGCTATTGAAGTGGAGGATACATTAATAGGGGTCACATACTAGGAAACAGAGGAGGGAGGCAGGTACTTTCGGCTACACAAGAACAGCACAAGGGATCCTTGTGGCTGTGAATCTTGGTGATGGTCAGGCCTCTGTTCTCTTGTCTTCTCTCTTTTCTCCCCTTATAGCTCCTTCTCTCATAGATTTGCATACACATACTAAGTTTGGTGAGTTGTATCCATGTTGATTTTTTGTTTGTAATATTATGCTATATTTATTCAAGATTAAGTTCATCATTGGGGAAAATTGAGCAAAGCATTCTTCCTTCTCAATCTCAAGCATCATAACTGTATGTGAGAGCCAGGCACGGTAGATCATGCTGGTAATCCCAGTACCCTGCTAAGCTGAAGTAGGAAGATCACAAGTTTGATCCCAGTATGGTCACTTAGAGATTTAGCAAGGTCCTGTCTCAAAATTAGGAAAAGAATAAAAAGATTGAGAGGTTGGACTTCAAAGTTTAAAACTTCTCCTCTGTGCTACCATCTCCACCAGACAGAAAATTGTTAGGTTGTTTTTCTCTGTGAAGCGTCTTTCTTTTCTTCACGTGACTCTAGGGATGTCATCAGTAAAGGATACTTGGATCCAAGATGGTGAGCCCACACTCTCACCCCTACTCAGAAAGGGTATGTCAGTGCCATCCCCACAAGTCCAAGGGAAGTGTCCAGAAGGTCTGTGAGTGACAGCAGCCAGAGTCCTTTGAGGTGAAATAATACGACTATTAGGAAAGAGAGAGACTCGTCAGTTCTTAAAGGAAACAGAAATTACCGAGTGTTGTTTTTCCCACAATGTCAAGATACATTGCCTGAGAATAAACACAGAAAACCAGAAGTAGGATAGAAGGAAAAAAGCAGAATCATGATGGTAAATAAGGAATATTTCTCTATATCTGTGCCTAAATTTATATCATCTTCCTGCATTTGTATCTGAAGCACTCACTTCTGGATGTCTTAGATCTATGAAAAACTATATCCACTTTTCAGATGCTGACATTAGAGCATCATTACTATTATTTGAAACCCTAGGAGCCTCAACATACATCCACTTTGCTGCCTGTGTGTCTTGTAGCAAATTTTTCTACCTGTGTGAGCCCTGCTTTGCTCTAGGGTGATTAATGAGTCCGATCCCATAGGTACTGAGACTTGGCCAATTCCCCATATATTTGAGTATTCTAATCTAGGTTTCTTTCCTGGTGTCCTGAGCTCTGTCTAGAGAGAGGGAAAGCTCAGCTGTGTCCTAAAGTGGGAGCAGCTACTCTGGGCTGAGAAATATCAAACTCCCATTGGTAGACACATTTTTCTTGGGAATATGTCTTGGAGACCACTTCCTACTCCAGTTGGCAGCCCATCTCCAAAATAATGTAAATCAGCATTTTGGGACTACAGGTTGTCACTAAGGTCCCAATAATGGTCATGGAACAAGTCACCAAGTGACAGTGTCCTCACTTGACCCCCCCACCAGTGAACACTCGCTGAGGGATCCTGGTATCCTCTATTCCTATACTGGGCCAGAACCTTGAATGGGAGTGGCTGCACTTCACTGAGATCCTCACAGAGTGTTTAGGGTTGTTGCTAATTCTGAAAGATGCCCTGCAGGCTGAGGGAGTGGAAAGTACAAGGTCTGGTGAGCGCCAGCAAGTACACTTAGGAGGATCCTACTGAACCTGTGCAGTGTCTCTCCTTTCCCTCTGAGTGATCTTCCCAAGGAGGACAACCTTCAGACCCCTCCCTGAATGAGCTCGTGAGGCCACATTTAGATAAAGACTGTGTTGGGGGACCCGTGTCAGGTTAGGAGGTACCCTTTTCCCATCTTATCCCACTTTCTCACTTCATCCCTTCCTCCATCCTGCCCCCCACCCCTCCCTCTCTTTCCCATCCGCCTCTCTAACCCGTGCTACCCGCACCCTCTTCAGTTTATACCTGCTCCACTCATTCCCTCTCCATTTCATCCCCCTCTTCCCATTTCATTCCAGCCCTTCCTACTTTTCTGCAGTCTCCATTTTCTCCTGTTCACTCTGGAATCTGGGATCCAGGGAGAAGCCTGGCTGCCTAAACCACTGCTTGCATGAATGGCCAAAGAGTGGCTCCTATAACCTCAAATGCAGACAGAGTGCTTACTTTTGCTAGACACTGTCCCAAGCTTTTATTCTCTGGAACAATTTAATTAGGTTGATATGAATGTTCTCTTCGTTTTTCAGGTGAGAAAACCAAGGCACAAAATGCTAAATAGATTTTTCAAAGTCAAATAGCTACCTAGTGTGGAATAGCTGGGTGCACTTTTATCCATGCTCACTAGTAATAGTAGAGGTCTCAGTGAGGGAGTGGTTAAAGCTATGTTTATTGTCTACTTGCCAAAGTAGTTGTGATGATTAAACATTTATAAGACAAATAGAACATGAACCCATAAGTCAGGAAACAACTCCCCGGCCACTCTCTGTGCTTAGGTGGGACTGATCTCTCTCTTGAATTCACAAATGGCCTCAGCACAGGTCTGACTAGTCAGAATCCATGTGTTCCTGTTTTTTTTTTTTTTGGTCTTTTTCATTTTTATCGGTACCAGGGATCGAACTCACAACCGCCTGCTTGCAAATTCATGTGTTCCTGAACCATAGAGATTAATACAGTGATGAGCACTCAACAAAAACCAGATCAATGAGATCTGATTCTTGATGGCCACAGCAGTTGGAGAGCCAGTACTACATGTTACCTGGCCAGGCCTGGGTCATGCATATGCTCAGTCCTGAACCAGTCCCTGTGGAGAAAGGGAAGAGATACAGTAATAGGCACATCACAGAGTTCTGGGCCCATGGTGAGCACCACTTAGTGTACCTGAGCTGAAAGTGAAGGCAGAGTGGGGCCCCAAAGAAGGACTGTAATGTTTCTTTCCAGAGGAAGAGAGAGTGAATGCTGACAGGATGCTACTCCCAAGGTCCTGTGCCTGCTGTCTCCTACCCCATGAATGCTGCAGTGAGTTCTCTTTACCAGCCCAGTCTTGCTCTATGACAGACCAAGCCAGAGTGGAAGAAGCAAGCCCTAGCATGAAGCTCACTTGTGGAGTGACACCTTTTGAAAGGCTGACCTTCAGATCCCAGAATATGGGAGCACTCTGCCACTGAGATTTCCTGCCTGATCGAGGGGCTCTTGACCCAAGTTCTGAGCCCTCTGTCTGTCTGTCTTTGTCTCTGTGTCTCTTTCTGTGTCTTTGTCTATCTCCCTGTCTCTGTTTCTCTGTCTCTCTGTCCCCAAACCTCGTTATAGGACAAAGCTTCTAGTCCACCTCTCATCCCACATTCCCGGTACAGGTATTGGTAGGGCTCCCTGTTGGTGCTCCACAGGTACATTTTCTTTGACTCACAGTTCTTAGAAAGTGAAACTCATTGACAGGATTAAACAGTGATATTTCATTTCAAAATGCAGACTTGCAGACTGTCTTCAAAGCCTTGGAGGAACTTGAGTGGAAATGAGCTGAGCAGCAGCTGCTGCCACTAAAAGAACGTGTGTTATTCAGCTCCCCAGTGAGCCTACCCTTTTCTAGTTACTGCCAAGGCCTGACTGGGCTCAGTGGGCACTGGGTTAGACCTCCTGCTCTGTAGGCCCGTGTCTGCCTCCATCCCCAGGCCTCTCTAGGAAGCTGAGGTTGTTCAATCAGGTGTCTCTCAGGCTTTGTCCGAACCAAGATCACGGCCACAATGAGGAACATTTTGCTGTACTGCACTGGGTGGCCTTGGGCAGACCACCATAGCTCTGGGACCTAGGTTCCAGTGGGTAGAGGAAAGGAGATAATAGATATGAATGTCTTAGAAGTGAAAGTGCTCGAATAGGGAGAGGGGACTTGGCTAGCACCTCATTTTTAGTATACTGGATGTGCTAAGCTCATGGGGAAATTTCCAAGGTATTCAAGACCCATCTTATTGGTGATAAACTGAGGGAGTTTGCTCTTTTTAAGTATGTTCTTACTTTCTCTGAGCTTTTATCCAGGGTGATGGTTTTGCCTGAAATTTATAAACCATAGAAGAATCTTCTCCAGGGGCAACATGAGGTGATTTTTTCCATTTCAGTCTCTTCCTATACAGCATTATAAGTACCCACACGGAGTGACTGGGCAACATGAGAAGGTGCTGAGAGACAAAAAGAGCAATTGCAATCTGCTTTGTCCCGGGGTTGGGGAGTTCCCAACTTCTCATTCTGAACTGTTCATCATTTTAGGATTTTTAACAGCTGCTCGTAATTTTTGAAGGATGTGGGTTTTTTACTAAGCATGTGGTGCGTAAGTCCCTCTACTATGGCCTCAGGTCCAGATGGAGATCAACAGGAAATCAAGGAGCCAGGCATTCTTCACTGCAGGGTCCGGGTTCCAGGTATCACCCTGGGCCTACTCAGCCTGGGAATCTGCATTTTTTCCCAGCCATCCTCTGACCTGGTAAGCCACATCCACATGAAAGATTAGATTCACTAATTAGGACCTAAGTTTTATAATAAAAGTTAAAAATACATAGGCAATGGAAGCTGAGGTTTTTGCTAGGTGACTGTCACTGACAAAACTCAGCAGCCCAGAAAGTTGCAGTGTTTAAGGCTGGGATATAAGGCTGTAAGCATTGAAAGATTAGTGTTCCCCAGAACTGCCAATATTAATTCAAAACAAAAACAATACTAACACATAAAACATAATATTGAAATGACTTCCTTTCCAAGATGCATATTGGGAAATGTTGAATATGTTCATTGAAACAGAAATGGTCTTATTTTGGAAAGAAATCACTACTTAACTGGTGTCCCATGATGATGTTTGTTTTGCTTCCTGAGTAATATGAGTGTGGTGTGATTCATTCATGCAACTAATATTTATTGAGCTCAGCACAGCCATTAATAAAAAGACAAACATCTTTACCCCTGTGGAGCTTACTTTCTAGGAATGTGGAGACAAGCAATAAGCAAAGTAAATATGTAAACAATATGGCATGATATGGGGTGCTAAGTGCCCTGGAGAAAAAGACAGCAGAAAAAGCAAATAGCAGAATCGGGGTGTCAAATCTGATTTGTCCCCACTTCTAGGTGGCTGTCACCCAAACTTTACCAACAGTTCCCACATTTTCCTTGGGGGGTCAGATCAGATCTGTTCAGTGAACATCAGTTAAGAATCAGTGTTGTGACAAGACCTGACACCTGAAGCTTAGAAACTGGTCAGCCAACTTGACATATAACATTAGAATTTACTGAGTAGCAGAGATTCAAAAGGAACATCTTACTCAGCCTCAGATTAGTGGGGTGACTAGGGGATACTCCTTTGACATTCTCTCCTCCCACTTTCCCCACCTTGCTCAGTACACTTCAGATGCATTGGCTTTTTTTCTAGGCTCAAAATATATCAAGTCTCTTCTGACTTCAGAGCTTTTGCTGTCCCCTTGCAACCCATTGGGAGTTCACACCATGCAGGCTCAGACAAATGTCCTCCCCTATAGTAGACCTTCCCTGCTTGTCCTGTAGCCTGTGCTCCATCACTGTGTGTCACTTCCTTTGTTACCTTCCAAGCACGCTCTGAAATCCTAGGCACCAGTGTTTTTATATTTTTCCTTACCTCCTCTCACAGAGCTGGGACTTAGTTTCTCTCTTTTGACCCATACTCTGACCAGCTTTCCTCCTGCCTAAGCCCCTCTGGCTGCTGAGGAGTCCTGTTCATTACATACTTGGTTGGCCATGGAAGACTGTTGTCCTCTGTCCTGTAAGACTTGGGGCAATGCAGTTATTAATATCATGGAACTGGAGATCCAGGCAGACTTGCTTGGATCTCTGCCTCTGCTACTCTCAAAACTGTATGCCTTGGGAAAATTGATTAACTTTTCTGAACCACAGCCTCAGTTTCCCCATCTGAGCAGCCAGCTCATTCAATAGATGTCAGCTTTTGTTAGTTCTCCAGCAACGGTTACCAGATGCTTCTAGCTGGAAGGGTTGCTTGAACTGCTACATACCTGAGATGAGAGCCCTGGCCTGGCTAGATCCCTCAAGGACCCCCTGAAGAGGGACTTATAAAAATAAAAGTCCAGACTCAGTGATTGTGCCCCTGAGGGCCAGGAGTTAATGATCCGGGGTCTGTTAATGAGCTTCCTCCTCTGCTCTCTCCTCGCAGGTGGTATGGCAGCCTTCCAGGCCCAGCGGCTTCTCCCTGCACCTGCCCTACTCCACATCCAGTTTCTTTGCAGTGCCCTAAAAAGCTAACCAAGCTGAAATTGCTCACTCCAAAGCTCTAAAACTCCTGCACCATTACTCAGTGTTCTCTGAGGTCCTGACCTCACCTCTGCCTCCCAACCCTTCCCATCTGTTGGGAGCCACAGAAGCACTTAGCTACGGTAGCTGCTGAGACTGTGATCTCAATGCTGAATGCTGGCCTTGCTCAGGTGGGGGATGGAATGAGGCTGCCCTAGAAGGCTTGATTGACTGGAAATTCCTAAAGTGAGCATCCATGCCTCCATTCTTCCTGGGTGCTTCCTGAGCTGGGCCTTTATGTTACATTAAGACAAGATAAATGTCACCAGTGAGCACCCCTAGAAAGACACAAGCCATAGACTGGGATCAAGTTTCTTGGGTTTAACTGCTAGTTTCACCATTTAATAACTGTGCAATTGTAGATCTCAGTCCAGAATAATGACTGAACACACTCTGCACATGCTCCTTCACTGATCTACAGCCCCAGACCCCTGTGTTGGCTTCTATTTTACATACTGTGTGCTTCTTGCTGGCTGGGTATTGTTCATAAACCTTGTATATAATAATAATTCATTAGCTATTTTAGTTTCAATAATTTATTGAAGTCCAAAAAAATTAATTTCTTGATTAATTCATTTAAACAAAGACGAACATATTAGTGGCTACCTTTTTGGGGGTGGTAAGGGCTGTGCCTCAGCTAAAACTGGATACAAAGGCTCACAGGCTTTATACACATGTATGAGCTGCACAAGGGCAAGACTACAGTGGTAAGGCCTTTTTAAAGGTTCATCTACAGGATCAAGGAAGGAAGAAGCATGTCCCTAGTTCAGCCCTGTGGACTGGGGAGGTATGTGTGTGAGGGCAGATGTACATTTCTCCAATTCTTAGTAACTTTGGCTTCAGTTCTGTACCTTGTTTCTGTTGCTTTTGGGACTCACACTGTATCCTTTGGTTCTTGCCAGATTTTAGCAGCAACCATGGTAGGCTTCCCTCATGCATGTGGACAGCACCCCACATCTGCTCTGCTTTTTTGCCTCAGTGAGAGCTCATGCACCCCTTGGGTAGGTAAGGAGAGAGAATACTTAAAGGATCCCTGTCAAACAATGGAATGTGAGAGTCAGTGATAAGTTTTAGATTCCTGTCCTTCAGAAAGACACAGAGTGTATCAGCAGTAGGATTGGGTCGTGTGCTCACAGTGGTAATCAGGGCATGCTATGGTTTGAATGTGTTACCCAAAAGCTTATGTACTTGAAACTTAATCCCCAAAGTCATATAATGCTATTTGGAGGTAGTGTTTTGGGGAAGTAATAAAAATTAGATGAGCTCATGAAGGTAAGACCCCCACAAAAACATTATAGAAAGAAGAAAGAGAAAGAGGGGAGGAAGAAGAAAAAGATTATGAGGAAGAGGAAAAAGGGGGAGGAGGAGGAGGAGGGGGGGGGAGGAGGGGGAGGGGGAGGAGAGCGATCCAAGCTAGTATGATTGCCCTGTTTCACCATATGATGCTCTCTGCCATGTTATAATGCAGCAGGAAGAATCTCACAGAGGCTGAAATTGATGCCAACAGGACATTGCTGAACTTACCAGCCTTAAGAATCATAAACTAAACAAACCTATTTTTCATAAGTTATATGATGTCAGGCATTTTGTTATAGCAACAGAACGTGGACTAAGATCAATAACACGCAAGGTGCTGCCTTTTTTTTTTTCCTTCTATTTTTACTTCCCCTACTTTTTCACTCTTACCTCTTGGGGTTACTTTTCACAGCAACTTTGGGGAAAAAAAAGAAATTCTCACCTCTGGATCTTCTTTGTTAGTTTCTGTCGCCTCTCTTCTCCTTCTTTTGGGGTTGAAGGTGGCTTGGTGGTGGTGGTGCCAACGGAGGTGAGAACTGCAAGGTAAAAGGAATCTGGGGCTGTGAGTGACACTGTGGAGCAAACTGCCTTCCTGCCTCAGACCGCCATCTTTTTTGGGAATGTTACAAGAGAGAAATAAAGTTTGATTCTGCTCAAACTACTTTGTATTTGAATGACTCTGTTTCAGCAACTTCCTGCGTTCTAACTAACACAGTCAATAAGAAGGAATCTGAGCAAGCAAATTGTGGGTCTAAATACTGATGTGACCTCATTTGTGCCCTGAGGCTAGTGAAGCCCAGGGACATTTAGTTTACATAACTTCACTGTGGTGTGCTGAGCACTGCAAACTGCTTGGGAATTAGGAAAGCTCATGGGACCCTATTGCGACTCAGACTTGTCATAGATCTCAGCAGCTATCATCTTGGTTTGTGTCCCCTGCTTTGTAATGCTGTCTGTCTCTATCTCCTGTCTTCCAATGCTTCCCCTCCCAGGCTGATTGCACATTGGTGCTCAGGCTGTGTTGGGTGGAGCAAGCTTAAAAAGAAACAGTTGACCAGCTTCAGGGGCCTGGACTCATGACAAACAGGAAGCAATCCTAGAACAAGCATATCCTAGCTTATGGGATCTCATCTTTGCTCCCCAGGTGTGGACAATTTTTCAATTCATGGTCATTGTGTATCCTCTTCATCCAACAGAGCTAGGTGGTGCTAATTTATGCTATTAGTTTAAATGCTATAGGAAACTTAGCTTAGAGTAGCATCTATTTATTATTTCACAGTTCTATAGATAAGAATTTGGGGTGGGCACAGGCAGATTCTTTACTTAGGTAGGCTCTCATCTGGAAGCCTTGGGAGGAGAATTCATTTCCAAGCTCATTCTTGTTGCTGGGAAAACTTAGTTGCTTGTGCATATGGAACTGAAAAAGTCCTAGGAAAGTGGAGATGAGATGATTACCCTACCCCAAATAAAAATCCAAAGGAAAACAGGATTCTCTTGAAGCTCATACAACGAAAAAGAGTTGTTTCTTCTGCTAAACTGGAGTGTTTCCTTTCAACTGCTATGGGAGACTGGAAAGCTCTCATGTTCTTCTCTCTACATTGACCTTAAAGGACAAATTTTACGGATGTCAGTAGCATCTATCAGTCTAAGTTGTCTGAGGATAATTGTTTTTGTTACCTCTGGGTTGCTTTTTATTCTTTTTCTGTTAGAGCTTTTCATATATGATGCAAATTGCACCTAAGGTTACATTAATTCTTACTGAGCACACAGAGAAAATAATTATACCTTTTGTCATTTGACTTCCCTTTAGTTGGCTACTGTTTCATTCTATGTGTTTGTAAGTTAAGGGGTTGATAAACCACAGCCAGTGGGGTGCATCCAAGTTTGCTGTCCCTTTTGTAAATACAAAAATTTATTGGAACACAGTTGTGCTCATTAAATTATGAATTGTTTTTGATACAAGGTCTCTATATAGTTCAGGCTGGCTTTGAGTTCACTTTGTAGCCTAGGCTGGTCTGCAACTTGCAACGACCCTCTTGCCTCAGCCTCTCGAGTTTTGGGATTACAAGCATGAGCTACCACACCTGGCTTAATTTATGCATTGTTGATGGATGCTTCTGTATTTTAGTGGCAGCGTTGAGTAGTCCCAAGAGAGACTCTATGGCTTGTTAAGCCTGGAGTGTTGACTATCTAGGTCTTTCCAGAGAAAGTTTGCCACATTCTATATTATATTGAAACCCTTTTTAAAAATAGTTTCAAATTATATATATATATATATATATATATATGTATATATATATTTCCTATTTCAGAAATGTATAGCTTCAAAATTTAGATATACATATATTTTCTGTTTACAAAAGTAATGTGTGCAGATAATAGGAATGGTAACATCACAGGAATCCATAATGACCATTTGCATCCCCTTTTAACTCAATTCCTATTGGTGGTCTCAGTTAACAACTAGTGTAGATTTCTCCAAATTCCTTTTAGAGCAGCAACTAATCTGCATATATCATTAAAATAATATCACAAAAGAACTAAATCTGTAGGTGAGCAAATTTCCTGGGTAAGCATTCTTAAATTCTCCATTAGCAGCATTTTTTGGACACATTCACAGACATTCTCACTCCTTGTCTCCAATATCTTTCTTTATGGATCTGTTTTAATGAAAACTCTTTTCTAAATAATCTTCACAATAGCGATATCTTTGCCAGTTCTAATTATTTCTGGTACCTCTCATTATAATGATTGTTTTCTTTTAAAATCAGTACAAATTACTGTTACTTTAAAATATGGCTTAGGATCAGTGAGGATGGCAGATACCTGGAGACTGTCACCTTGCTTCCAAACGGTCATGCCTAGTCAGGACTATGAAATTGCTGATTACCCACTTGCTTCTAGAAGACTAGCAGGACCTATATCCTCATGCATTACCTGATAGCATCACTCACTTCCAGAAGTTCACACTTTCTAGGACTGGTCACTACCCAGAATTTCAGATCCACAGAGAGCCTTGTATATCTCACATTACCCTGTTTGCTTTGTTTCCCCACTGTTTGCTCCCCAAACACTGGAATCCCTTTGTGTAACCAGCAAATGTCCTTATCCTCTTACCACCTCACCCCCTTTTTTTGGTACCAGGAATCAAGCTCAGGACCTTGTGCTGGCCATGCAGGCCCTTGTAACATCCCTACATTCTCAATGTCTCCTCCAAGCATAGCCTTCTAATTTCTTCCCCTAGCATAAACCTAGAGGTCTCCTAGCCTCCTGCAGCCTTCTCAATGGTAGGATGTTTTCCCTCTCACCTCATGTGCTTAGCATTCCCCTTTGTAGAATTCAAATTGCAAAATTCCCCACCTCTTTTTGCTTAAAGCAATCCCATTCAGGTGAAGTCCTCAGATCATCTCACTTCAGACCAACTGTATTTCGGGTGCTTAATAAACAGCCACATGTGGTCAATGACCACCATTCTGGATAGAATAGCTCTCATGTCAGCTCCCCAAATGGGTCATCTACCAACCCCACCATCACTAAGCACTCCATTGCTTATCTGTCCTCTCTGTCTTCCCACTTTGCTCATCATTTTTGGTGATTTCAATATCCATGAAGATAACTCATTTAGCCTTTTGACTTCTACATTCCTTGACCTCCAGATTTTCCTTGACTCATTCATGATTTTCTACTGCAATCTCCTTTAGCCACACCTTGGACCTAATCATCAGAGGCAACTGCACAACCTCTGGAGTCTGGAGTTCAAATTTTCCTGTTTCTGGATAAATACTTTTACTCCAGTTTTCCTATGTTAGTGAGATCTTCAGGTCGATCTCACAACATAGGAACATAATACAAGTCACATATATGGCTTATAACTTTCTAGTAGCCACATTAAGAAGTGTAAAATTAACACTGAAAGTGAAATTTAGCAATATTTTTAAACTTAATACTGTTATCAACATGTGACCAATGTGTATTCATTGATGAGATATTGTATGTTTGTTTTTGATACTATGTTTGAAACCCATGTGTATTTTATATCTACCACATCTCAGTTCAGACTAGATACATGCTCTTTCACTGCCACACATTGCTAGTGGCTACCATATTGGATAGAACTGCTCTAGACTATTAAATTTTCATCCAACATTTTCAATGCTCTTCAGTTTTTCTGATCTGATGAAGATTCCATTTCTCATTACTACGATCAATCACACCATTCCAAATGTTCTTCCACCATTTCTTCACTTAGGGAAAAATCTCACCTCATTCCTAGCTGGACCAAACCATGTGTCTATCCCCATGCAATTGAATAGTACAGGAGCAAATCACACACCTGGGCTGCTTTGCTGCACTTTAAGTTCATGGCTACAAATTTCAAATGGACATATAATGCTCCCTGGAAACCTTATCACATTTTCCTAGTTGAATTTTCTTTCTTACTCTCAAAGAGCATTATTTCATGTTTTCATCTCTTTTCAAACCTCCCTAGCCTCTCCTTCTCCTAACTGCTGCCTCTCAGCACATGCCCTTGTTTATTATTCATTAACAGACATCACACATTTAATATGTCCATAATGTAGCTTCCTGCCTTTTCAATGCAGGTAATGGTGCCATTACCAAGGTAAGGTCTGAGTCCACATTCTTTCCTCGCTTCTCACTTACCAGCAAGCCCTGTCATCCAAAACAAATCTAAAATCTCTCCACTTCTCTCTGTGTTTATAGCTACAAGTCAGGGTGGCACCACTGTCTTCTCTTGCCTGGACTGCAGCGATGACTAGCTGGTCTTCTTTGTTTTCATGCTGACACCTCGAAATCCATTTTCTATTGAGCAGCCAGGGTGGTCTTTAAAAAACATAAATCTGATTGTGTCATTCCTTTTCTTGCAACTACTCGTTTCCATGACTACAAAAGGTCCTACGCTATCTGACCCTTGCTTACTTTTCCAGTGTAATCTTTCCTGGCTCTTTTCCCCACTCACTGTACTTGGGTCATACAGGCTTATTTCTTGTCTCTTTAGCATATCCAGCTCTTTCTTGCCTTCTGGATTTTCCAGCGCTATTTCTCTTCTGTAGAGATCTTACCCTGGTGTTTCTCACCATTGGTTCCTTTCCTCCTTTTCATTGTTAGAGATGTCTTCCCTTAAAAATCCTATGCAACATCTACTTCTCTCTTCCTCAGCAGTTACTCATTTCTCTCCCCTCTCTGCCACTTCTTTCATGGCATTTCTTAGAGGAAACTACCATACTTGGTTTATGTCCTGTTTGTTTCTTTAGTTTGCCCAAGAAATAAGCCCCATGAGAGTAAGGACTTTGTCTTGTTGCTCCACTGCATTCACTCAGGCTGGAGTAGTACCAGATATTCAATGAATATTCATTGAATGAATGAATGGGTGGATGAATTAAGGAACTGGATGCACCAGTATTTCAAAACTCCATCACTACTGTGAAATGCACAGACTCACATGATCAAACTCAACTTCCCCAGCTAAGTTCACTAACCTCAGAGTTGGGTCAGTGAGGTTGGCAAAGCACTGGCT